GGGCTATCCTCACAGATGTAGTCGTAAGATTGGAAGGATTTCACATGCTGATGTCGTATCTAGGAGCGATTGGAGCCATCATGGATGGAAGTGGATTGAAGGAACTGCTATGCACCATTTATGCTGGAAACACCGTCGATAATATGCTGACAGGTCATGCTTTCAGTAGAGCAATCAGAGGTCATCTTATCGTCTACACTGCTTTAGGCTCCATCATTGCGCAGCATGCTAGTGCTATTGATGAGCAAGAGCGTGCACATATCACTGATTCGCTCAAAGAATTCAGCTTGGACCCACCGACGAAGCAGGAAATTAATGACGATGAAGTACTCATCAAGGTCAAAGCCAAGATGTTGAAAGTAATGGAGAACCTCGCTGATATCAGTCGAACTTCAAGACTCTGGTTGCAGTATTTCGACTGTATAACGGTTGTGATGCAATTTATCGAAGCTGAACGTCTAGGCAACTGGCAATTACATCTTCAGTGTGTGCGATACATGCTCCCCATTTTCCATGCAGCTGGTCATATAGCGTATGGTAAATCCGCCCAGATCTACCTCCAAGACATGTGCCAATTACCGAGCATCATGTCTCCACAGGGGTTCACGAAGTTTACAAAAAGAGGACATTGTACAATACGACGATCGGATAAGAAATGGGGAGGAATATGGACTGACATGACCGTGGAACAAACCTTGATGCGTGTGATGAAGGTTTCTGGAGGTCTCACTAGTGGACGTGGGATCAACAATGAAGGTGTCGTAGCGCGTTGGATCCTGGGTATGCCAGCTGCTTATGAGGTTATAGACGCTTTCGAGACCTTTTGTGGAGTTAGAGCATCAACAGTGGAGCAACATACAGACTGGAGACCAACTAGCATAAGGAGAGATACAGAAGATTATCTGAAATTGATGAAGTGGCTCATCGCCCATGATCCTTTCGTATTAACATCTGGTCAGGAACTTATGTCTATCGCTGATCGATTATGTGCTGGAGAGGGTGTAAATTGTGACAGAGCCAGAGCAATTGGAATGGAAGCCATGAGAGGGATGATCGGAATGAATGCTGGGGATATCAAACTGAAACGCTCAACACGGGTGAAAAGTCTGGCTGCGACAAAACGTGGAATTGTCATTAATAATGAAGTTGTAGCCGTCAACACAACCCTTTTATTTTAGCGGATTGCAGCGATAATAACGGAGGACAATCAGTTGGCGATCAGATCGTTGAATCACGAATTAGCCCCTTTTCCACCTTCTTTGTTCGATGATAATGGCATTATGAGGAAATCCAAAAAATCGGAACTCTACGCAGCTTTGATGAGCAGCCCATGAGCGGCATTGAGCTGAGCCAGTGTAAAGTCATCATTGATGGTGGATTTCTCCTCCACAAAGTGGTTTGGCCGGTTGGAAGCATATATGCGGACATTCTTACCCTGTATGAGAATTACATCAAGAAAAATTATGGATCAACGGCAATTGTGGTTTTTGATGGCTACAAGGAAGGGGAGATTGGCATAAAATCATACGAGAGGTTTAGACGATCCAGAGCCAACATCGGGAGTCAATTAGTCTTCGAGAAAGATATGCCAGTTGTCCTGGCCCAGGCTAAGTTCTTGTCAAATGACAAAAACAAGGAAAGGCTCATCGATTTCTTGAGAGTTCACCTTACTAGTGCTGGAATAGCAGTGAAACAAGCCCCCGAGGATGCGGATCGACTCATTGCTACTACTGCCATTGAACAGCTTGGCGCCCATGAGAAGNCCAGAGCCAACATTGGGAGTCAATTAGTCTTCGAGAAAGATATGCCAGTTGTCCTGGCCCAGGCTAAGTTCTTGTCAAATGACAAAAACAAGGAAAGGCTCATCGATTTCTTGAGAGTTCACCTTACTAGTGCTGGAATAGCAGTGAAACAAGCCCCCGAGGATGCTGATCGACTCATTGCTACTACTGCCATTGAACAGCTTGGCGCCCATGAGAAGATTGCAGTCATTGGGCAAGACGTTGATTTATTGGTGCTTCTCATAGCATTGACACCTCTCAATGAAGAAATTTTCTTCGTTAAACAAGGCAGTAGTAAAATTCGCAACACTTTGTTTTCCACCAAGCGACATCATCATTTTAAAGATACAATACTGGTGAGTCACGCATTAACTGGGTGCGACACGACAAGTTCCATGTTGTACAAAGGCAAGAAAACTTTTTTGAAGCTGCTGAAAAAGAACAATGAGTTGGTCCATCACGTAGCTGTGTTCAATAAGGCAAATTCCTCACGAGCAGCTATCAAGGAAGCAGGAGAACGTCTTATGTTGGCAATTTACGGCGCCAGCAAAGATGTTTCATCGATCAACGCGTATCGATATGAACGCTTCGTGTCCTCTACTGCACGAGTAAGAACAGAAGTACGCTTGGGACAGCTTCCGCCGACCGCTGCAGCTACTGAAGAGCACATACAGAGAGTCTACTTCCAAGTACAGAAGTGGCTTGGAAATGAGAATCTCAACCCTGTCGACTGGGGTTGGCAATTAAAGGATCAAATGTTCATCCCTATTATGATAAAAGATCCGCCAGCCCCAGAAGACATCCTCAAAATGATTCACTGTTCGTGCAAAGGAAGTTGTACCAATCGGTGTGGATGCAGAAAAGCTGGTCTCAAGTGTTCCATCATTTGTTCAGGGTGTCATGGAAATACCTGCTCTAACTCCAAGATGATCGACTTATCCACTGACACACCAGAAGAATCGAATGATTCGCTAGTTCTTTACTCAACGAGTTGGATGAATTGCTTGATGAGCAGTTGGAGAGACTTCCTGCTGGTGAGAGAAGCCTGCAATCTACTCCCAGAATCTACTCCCCTACATCTCCAGAACAACACTCATTAATTGTTGACGAAGATAATGAGTCTTCTGATGATGACAGCCGAACAACCACGAGTAAGAAGGCACGTTGGGAGTTTTCGCAGAATTTCGAATGGTAAAATATCTTAGTACAGAGAATATCAATATATGTGGACGTTCGCATGAAACGGGACCACTTTGTCGATTCTAGTTTCCGAGATATTCACGTTTTTGTCTCAGCAACTCCCATTTACACTCATGTTAAAGTGTTTTTTTCATCTGCTCCGGCGACGTCATTTTTCACCCTATGAGGATCATTTTGGGCTCAAAATGTGCGGAATGATGCTCTATAGGTACTAAATTTCAATAATTCCTATAAGGCCTACACTATCTGACCGACATGCTATTATGTGTATGACTTAATTTTTACAGATTTTTTCTTCGAGCTTAAAATTATATTGAAAATAGTAAATTGAAAATAAATTGAAAATTTTTTTAATTAAAAAAATATTTTCTCAGTCTTTTGTGGTTTTGAAAGGATCAGACAAAAGGTTTCAGAACACCGAACGACAAGTCTACGTGAGTTAGATAACTTCTCAGAATAGCAGAGTTTACGATGGCAACTGATGAACAGCACATTCGGCACTGCATTTTATAGGAATTCCAACAAGGAAAAAATGCTTCTAAAGCACGGAAATCAATATGTAGAGTTCTTGGTGCCGACGTTGTGTCTTACGAAACGTGTAATTATTGGTACAAACGTTTTAGAAGTGGTGATTTTGATCTTAGTGAGCAGCCCCGCCCTGGGCATGCCTGGAAAGTTTGAAGATGCGGAATTGCAAGCTCTACTGGAGAAGACTCAATGCAAATGCAATCAGAGCTTGCAGCTCAGTTACGAGTCATCCAAACAGCTATTTCCAAGCGTTTGCACCAAACGGGAAAAATCCAAAAATTTGGAAGGTGAGTCCCACATGTGTTGACCGAACACAACCTGGGTCAACGTATGAACGCGTGCCTTTCACTGCTTGCCCGGCAACAAAAAAAGGACTTCTTAGGGAAAATTGTAACGGGTGATGACAAATATATTTTTTACGAAATTCCTAAACGTAAAAAGCCGCAGGAAGATCCCGGGCAACCCAGTACATCGACGCCGAAACAGAACCTCCGCTTAAAGAAGATTTTTCTGTATATCTGGTGGGACATGGAGGGTGTGCTTTATTAGTCCAGTCAAACTAGCTCTGAAAATGTCGTTTATATCGAAATTAACCAAAAGGCACCAAATTACACCAATCGATAGTTAAAAGTGTAATTATTAATGTTTTAAAAAGTATATGCTCAAATTTGCCGGGGTGATTCACAATTTGTTATAAACAATTGGGAATTGGCGACAGACCGTCTTCAATCCTAGATATCTTTAGTTAACCTCACCAGATGGGAAAAAAAAATATTTCTTTGTAGCTGAGAAAATTTCCTATCGGGGGGAATTAGGAACTTATAGCCCAAAATGTACCGTTAATTTATTATAAATTATAATAGCAATTTCGGAGCAGTCGGCGCAACGCGTCAGCTGTTCCCCTCCCTGCGCCAGTGCCATGAGTCACGTGATTGGCGCCATGCGCAACTTATTCAAACCTCCTGCTGCGCTCAACGCAATAGCCCTCAGCTGGATTTTTGATGAATATCTCCGAATCTGTGGGTAGTAGCCAAATTTTCATTATAAACTTATTTGAAACGCAACTAAAATTCCAGAACATTCTGGTCGACCATCGGCCTACTTCGAAAATCTCCGGGACCCTTCGGGTCATCAGTCCTAAGTCACCGAAACACGCGCGAATCAGTTTAGGCTTAGACTCTCACCGTACAAGTCTATCTCGGGCAAATCACCTGTACAAGTTTTATATCGCACCTCACCGAGTACAGTAGCTTCTTGAACCTCACCTAGCTCACTAGTAATCAAGTACATCACCGGTCTTTCTCCTCGGCGAAAAGGGCACCGTATTGATTTCTTTTGGATCTAAAATCCTGCTGTGAGGAGGAAACAATCTGAGAATTCATCATTCCCGTTGCGGTATCTCCAGCATTTTGTTTTTTCGTTTATTTTGATCATTGGTGGCCCGGAACTTGACAGTTGCTCGGCTGCACATTCAAACCGGACCTCGCCATAATGGCGCCACCTATGGAAACAAATGAGGATGAGACTCCTGATGGCAACACGGCCATGGCTGCTCTGACGGTAAATCAGTTTTTATCCTTCATGAACCCCAGAATTAAGGCATCTGTAGAAGAGGCCGTGGGTCCGCTCCAATCCCAGGTAGCATCAAATTCACACGACATCCAGACTCTGATATCAGAAAACAGGTCCCTGAGAAGCTCTATCGAAATTCAGTCGAAGTTGTTGGACGACCAGCAGCGTAAGAACAACATCATCCTATATGGTCTTCCTGAGACCTCTCCTACATCGCTGATTCCAGAGTTCCTCAGTTTTCTGAAGAAATTCCTCTCAATTACGCTACTGAGCCACGAAATCAATAGCATCAGGAGGATTGGTTTCAATAAGGGCAATAAACCTAGACCTACTCTGATCTCCCTCGTGTCATTCAACACCAAGATGTGTATCTTGAGTAACTCTTCGTTTTTGAAAGATACCCCGTTCTCACTGGCAAACGATTACAGCATGGAAGTGAGATCCAAACGCAAGGAGCTGATACCTCTACTGAAAGGCCTTAGAGCAAAGAACATCAATGCCAGGTTGAGAGACGGTGACCTATGGATCGACGGAAAGAAGACCTCAAAGGAAGAAGCAATCAGCCTCATAGAGGAGGCACCTAGGACCAAGAAGAGAGATCGTGAGGAGGAGTCCCAAAGTGGCGGAGGCGACCACCAGAATTCTTCCCTCCCACCAGGCAAAAAAATACCAAGAAAAATCTAGCGATATAATCAAGTTTTTTCGTCCTCCAGTTCTCCAAGATCCCACCACCCAGCTTCCAGCCCTCCGCAGCTAGTCCTCATCCCAACCACTCCCCCGTTTCTCTACCCTCCACCGTTCCCCCCATCATCCGCCCCCTCAAACGCACCAACCCAGCTGCCGCAAACTTCCCGTCATTCACCATTGGTTTCTGGAACATCGAAGGCTTCAAGAACGTTTGTTCTCTAGACCATTTCATGATGATGAAATTAGCGGGATTCGAAATCCTTGGTCTGCTGGAAACCTGGAAGGACTATGAGGTAAAGAACCTGCCCAAGTTTTTGAGCAATTTTCACCAGATTCAAATCCGGGCGCAGAGGGTTTTCACGGTTGGTCGAACTCCAGGGGGAATAATTGCCCTAGTCAAAAAGAGGAAAGGCTGCGATCCTCCCACTACCCTAGTGAGTACGAGTCACTTTGTCATAGTCTGCACAGTTATTTCTAAAGTTAAAATATTTATCTGCCTAGCTTATCTTAACCCAGAGTTAGACGTCGACGAGGCAGTAAGTGGGATCACTGATGACATTAACATCATATCTCAGAGGGAGCCTGATTGTCCATTTTTCATCCTCGGCGATTTAAACGCTCGCTTTGGTAACTTAAATCACCTGGAGGACTCTCTCACGGAGGGATCCTGTTTATCAAATCTCAGGTCAAGCCTAGACCGCAAGGATGATGTCAGGGGGAAGAGTCTTGAAGAAGAACTTAGTAGCATTGGATTCATTCTCCTAAATGGCCGCACTCGCTCCGACACACCTGCCAACTTCACATATATACACCAGAGGGGCGCAAGTACGATTGACGTGATATGGGTAAACCGGCCGGCGATGTTTCTAGTGCAAGACTCGTGGGTCTCCCCGCATGGTACCACGTCTCCCCATCTGATCTACCAAGTATCAGTACAATACTCTTCCATTCATCTGGAGGGTGAGGACTCTGATAAACCCATGAAATTAACGGAAAAATACCATTGGGCGAAGACAACTGAGGAGTACAGGGATTTTATCTATTGCCTAAGCGATGCTTGGAGCTCTCTAGATGACGCAGCAAATGATAAAAGCCACAGAGACTCACTCAGTCTAGATATTCACCTGCAGACGTCCATAAAAGTGGCTGCCTCCCGAGCTAATCTTTGCAGGATTATAAACCCAGCAAAAGGACCCAATTTCCCTTTATCTCACACAGCCAAGGCATGCAAAGACCAGCAGGTCCAGGTCCGTTCGCTATTCCATGTTGCCCGGAAGAATCAATTCGACGATCAAAGCAAATGCGAGTAGTGGAGGCGAAACCTTCCCTGGCTGATGGAATCAAACTAGCTGAAAGACTCCGGAGAGAAGAGGAATTGGAGGCTCTCTCAAATACGAAAAACGGTAAGAACTTCTGGTTTACTTGGAAGAGGTAAACCACCTAGAAACAACCCGCCATGCCCGATCCCAGTGAAGGAGTGGGAGAAATATTATTAAACACAGTATTCCCTTCGTCATCCAAGCCCGCCGATTCCTCGCTTTTCGATTTACCATCTGGTTTTGGATCTTCCGATATCCTACATGGAGATCAACAAGGTTTTATCTCACCTTTCCAATAATAAAGCCCCCGGGCCAAGGGAACTAGGAAATGAGTTCTACAAGCACCTGCCGCCACCTGGAATCAACGTTCTAAAGGTTTTATTCAACAGCATTATGGAGTCAGGAGTGGTCCCTCATGGGTGGGGTAGTGTCAAAACCATTGTGCTCCATAAAAAAGGAGACAAGATGAACCCGGCAAACTATCGTAATATCGCACTCTTCAACTGTATCACCAAGATCTACACGCATCTAATTGCGAATCGCATCCAGGACTGGACAGAATCTACCAACCTCACACCGGAGTTTCAGGCAGGTTTCAGACGCGGTAGGAGCTGTGCGGACAACATCTTCTGTTTGCTAGCGGCAACACAAATTGCCTTCAACCAACCAGGAAGATATCTTTTCGGGGTGTTCGTGGACTTCAAGCAGGCATTCGATTCGGTACAACATGTGAAGCTCTTCGATAGGTTGCACTCTATGGGTCTGGGTTCTAGAGCTTTAAATTCCATCATCGATCTGTGTGGGAAACTGCGTATGTTCTATGATATAAATGGCAGTACTTCAAATGAGCTGAGGATCACCAAGGGTACTCCCCAAGGTGAGTCCTTGAGTCCTCTGCTATTCATATTGTTCTTGAGCAACTTGGAGCATCATCTGAAGGAAAATGGATGCGCAGGGGCGAGTTTGGGTCCTAACCTGGAACTACGTCTGTAGGCTTTCGCGGATAATATCATCCTGTATGCTGACACAGCACAAGGAGTACAGAGGATTCTTGATGCTTTTGGGGTTTATTGCAATTCATTGGGCCTTACTGTAAATACGGACAAGACCAAAGTTGTCATTTTTCATAAAAGCCCCAAATTCGCGAGGATGCCAGTTTTTAAATACTGTGGGAGTACCATCGAGACTGTGAACTCTTATACCTATCTAGGGGTCATCTTCTCCAGTTCAGGCAAGTTCAATGCCGCGGCACTGGATAGAATAGCCGAGACAAATCAGGCTGTTGGAACCACGAGAGTCAAGATGAAATTCTATCAACCCAAATCCTCTAGGGCAGTGGAGAAAATTCACAGTTCAGTAATAGAAGGTATACTTCTCTACGCGGCAGAATTCTGGGCTGAAGATCAGTACGCCGAACATCAATCGGCACACGCGAGGTATTTCAAACAACTATATGGCTGGTCGAGGTACACTCCCCATTACGCAGTCCGTCTGGAATCCAACTCAACTTGCCCCAGTGTGGCTGTTCTAAAGAAGAAGCTGCTTTGGTGGATTAAACTCCTAAACATGAGTGAAAACAGGCTTCCGCGCAAGTGCTATGACAGACTACTGAGCCTGTGTACGAGGGTGCCCAATTATGCGAAGGAAAATTGGGTGAACTCGTTCAGAATGGAACTTGTGGAGCTGGGCTACGGCCACGTCTTTGAGAGTCAAGACGCCAACACAATCTCTATCAACATCGAGGAGATAATATCCAGGAAAATCGGTTTACTGAAACAACGAGATCTGGAAAGTGCCCTAAGGTCTACCTCGTGTCCTCTGTACCACCTCCAAGAAGACATAAACTATCTTCACTTCGACCTGAGTTTCTACAAGTTGTCTCTTATCAGCCAGATCAGAACAGCAACGGGGAGAGGTATATACCTCTACCTAGCTAATTTACGTACAAAATTGGATCCCAGCTCTACCTGCCCCATTTGCGGATGGGGCCCCCCGGATGACATTCAACACTTCCTGCTGCAGTGTCCGGCCTCGTGAGACATTAGATCTCGCTTCTCGAACCTGGGCTCCTCTTTACCAGAAATACTGAACGTGTCATCCCCAAAGAAGGCGGACATACTATTTATTTTTCTAAAGAATTTGATAAATATGAGGTGTAAGTCTATCTGAGTGTTCTAAATGTTCTAATACAAATTTTTTCTGTTCTCCAGCAGATTTTCCAAATTTTCTAAAGATTTTCATGATGTCTGCTCTTCCTAAGGGTCTGTCCTCCGAGGTATAAATCTGTTCCTGGGGTTCACGAGTCTACGTTTATTCATCTGTTCTCATATTTAATTCTTGTATTATATCTTATGTTTTTTACGATGTCACGCGAATTGTTACTGTACTACGCTCCTTCAGAACCCTGTGATTTAAAATATCTGAACTTTTGTATTATTTATCAAAAGCTTGTATTTAACTTATCTGTCACCTTTATATTGGATTTTATATCATTTTATATCATTTTATGCTGGCGCTATCCCCCCCATGTACTGTGACCATGTTCACAAAAGTGCATTAATTAAATAAATAAATAAATAAATAATTCCTCTGATGCAAATTGACAAATCCAGGGGAACACTTGCTTATTTTTTGTTTTGTACCTTCAAAATTTTAATTTTGATGAGAGTTTTCATATGGTTTTCTTATAATTAAAAATCCGAATGAGCGCGAAATTTGCCATAAATTTGCGAAATTTATGAATATTCAAATTATAATAGTTATTTGATAGATCAAAGCGTGGCATTGTTGTTGAAGAAATGTTGAGAACTTTAAATATTATTATTTTATCACATTATGATTTTCTCTTTTCATATATTTTGAATTTCTTATATTCTGTAAAACTAAATAGTTCTTCTCAAAAATATATTCATTGAATGTTCTATGCATTTCTGCTTTCATTGTTCATTGCTTTCATTGTATTTCATTGTATGCCGAATTTCTAGGAATTCTTTCGAAATTTCTAGAAGTTCTAGAAATTTCTTGAATTCCCCCACAAATTCCACAAATGCATAAATTGTTTCCAAATTTCCCTGAAGTTTTAAATTCTTTCCAAATTCACAGAACTGCTTCAACCTCTCAAAAATTCTAGAAACTTGAGAAATTCCGTCAGAAATTCTAAATTTAGTTGAATTTCTTAAAAATTTCAAGAAGCTCGAAGAATTTTCTAGAAATTTCTTGAATTCCTCCAAAAATTCGAAAAACCTGTATAATTCTTTGGAATTCTCCAGAAGTCCCTTCGATTCCTCCGAAACTTTAAAGAAAAATTTTTAAGAAAATTTTCAAGAAAAATTGTAGTGCTAGCACTGAAAAAGAAAGGCAAGTGGCAGCCAGGGAAAAATTCCAGTGCTGGCACTGGAAATTTTATTGGTATTCCTGCGAATTTTTCGTGTACTTAGGGGAAATTTTCACAGGAACACCAATAAAATGTCCATTGCCAGCACTAGAATTTTTCCCTGGCCGTCACTTTAACCCTCTTTTCCAGTACTAGTACTAGAATTTCTCTTGGAAATATCTCTCCGTATAGAAATCCTTGAATTGTTTTGAAATTTCTGGAAGTTTTGAGAATTCTCTACTTTCTAGTGTTTGCTTCAATTCCCTCGGAATTCATGGAAATCTGGAAATTTTTAAAATTTCTTC